TTCTTAAATTTTCACCGATCAAAATTAAAATTGGGCAGGTGAAATTTTTCAACCAAACACTTCTTGTGATTGTTGGGATACCAAGACGGTAAATAATATTAAATCAAATGTGCCTTTTGTGATATATAATATTTGACGGTAAATATTATTGAATTAACTCCGTATTACTATTATTTAGTCATGGAGCGGTTTTGATCTTTTTATTCTGTATACGCATCTTTCTATAAAAACTGAATGTTGAATCTTAATGTTTTGATTTGTCTGTGTCTTTGGGTTGCTGTCGCATTAATGTTTACCTTTATATCCTTTTATTCAAAACAAAATGATTCACTTGGGTATAGAGATATTGACATGTCTGGACCTCTCCCGTCCCACAGCATACCCTTGCCTTGGGTGCGTTCGTTTGGCTTATCGGATATATAAATGCGCAGCTTTGTCTGATCGAAATAGGAATGTATTTCCGATGACTGGTGTAGTGGGAATTTCACGCTATCTATACGTTAAAAAAATTAGAGGGAAATACGATCTACGCACGAGTTGAATGATTGAAATGTGTAAACAAGAAAGATTGGCTAAATCTTTTCAATTAAGTTGCATGGCTGATTTTAATACATTTTTGCCACTTTTGCCAGGACAATTGTAGATGAAAAACATTTAATAAAACCGATTAGCAAGACAATATCTAAAAAAAAAAAATGAAACGCTCAAAATAAGTTGAATCCTTTATAAATTAATGTCAACATTTGTTTTATCCATTTTTGCTTTTATGTCAACTATTATACCAGTCTGAGATATAAATAAACTTTAAAGAGCAAATGTTGTCACCTAGACGAGACAGTCGTCATTGTACGCTTCAATATAAGAGTTATTGCCTCTCAATGAAGATTGTTTTTCTGTTCTGATCCCCTCTCCTATTAGTTTTGCTGGAAAGGATACAATGTAACACCTGATGTGTACTACGACAACGTTTTTTAATGTTAAAAAAAAAAGATAAAATGCAAAGAGAAAAATGATGGAAGAAATGCTAAGATTTACGTTTAAAAATGCAAATGTAAATAAAATTGAAATATATAAAATTAGGAAAACTGTTAGAGACAATTATCAACTGAAGACAAATGATTATACATCACTAAATGAAGCTGATAAATCAATTGCTCCATTAATGTACAGTGGCAAATATGTCATGCATATTCACGACGAGTGGATCAACCTGGAGCAAATGATTACAATTTTAGAGTGGCACTTTTTACAAAAAGGCAGAGCGTTCGATTGAGGTAAACGTATGCCGTAATAGAATACAGTTGAACCATGGTCGAAGTCGTAAGTTAAGCTATTAGCCCTCCTTCCCTTTTTTTTCCACGGTAGACGAATGTCAAAAACAAAACGTCATGAATTTACAATCAATAACGGCCACTATAAATAAATGAGATATATGAACTTTTTTATAAATAAATTCCTATTGCAGCCAACATCTCCCGGTTCGAGACAGGTTAGTATTTCCACTAAAATACCGTTTGATTATTGACCGGAGATATTAAGGCAACCAAAAGGACGTTGAATCAAAAAAATTCTAAAATTGTAAATTATGGTATTTTGCTGGGTGTTTTCCCGATCCTATTTCGGACCCCCTGATTTTAAGAGGGCGTATTTAATTAGTCATGCCCGATTAACTTTTAGTAAATTGAACCTCAGCTTAAAGACCTACACCGGGTAAATAAGTTCGAGGTACAATAAGTAGACAATAGAAAACCTTTGTGAAATGAGATCGTCCAAGGTCTCTTAGATAATTATTTTGCGTTGAATAACAATAAAAAATGCACGAGCAGGTTTGTAAGAGATTATATCCTCTGAGTGCGGCGACACAAAGGCTAGTTTACTCCAGGGGTCGATCCTGAGACCTCTTTTATTTTTAATATTTATCAATGATATCATTTCTGACATACAGTCCATTATTTAGTTGTTTGATAATGATAAGAGTTTATGCTTGAAAGTAGATGGCCCCGAGAATCGACAAACAACTTGAATAGTAATCTAGCAAAAACCCATAGATAGTTTTCAAATTGGCTAGTGACCTTTAACCCCCAGAAAAGCGAGACCATGACAATTTCGCTGGAAACTTAATAAACCTGATCATGTAAAACTTAACATGGACAACGTAACTGTAACTGAGGTATCCACTCATACACACATTGGATTACACATTAGACAGATTATATCTCGAAACAGGTTGGGAAAAGCTAAAATATAAATAAATAATATTTATTCGAAGTATTATTTACATGCAATTTGTACGCTCATGCAATCTTCCCCCTGACGGTGCTTATTTAGTACTTCAGTAGGAACTTTTAAGAGTTGCGTCCAGTTTCGAATGAATAATAAACCCCATATTACTATCACGTTGGTAAGCGATTTAGTCAAATTTATCACTCAAGACTTCGTATGCAATGCAGTTCTCTAAATCATCATCTTTTTATCAAAGATATTTTGGTTTCACCACTTTGCTTATGTGGTGCTATAGAAAACACAGCGAAATACTTGTTGCATTGCCCCCGATTTCACATCATGCGTGAATAGCATTTATATTATCAGAATCAAACGTTTTTGTAAGACGTAATTTTGCTATACAGTTCAACGGAACTCAGCTATGAACAAAACATCAAAAAAATGTTTGCAGTTCAAACATTCATACTCAGTAAAACAGATTTGCCATATGATTACAAACATCTTATTCAACAGGTCTACAGTGAATATTTATATCTAAAATACTTGCAATTCACTATTGTATTTCTTATATATCGGATTTGTTTTCTTCTACTTGTGTTCACAACATTATTAGATGTTTTGTTTAGTGTAACATTATTTAATTTCTATACATTCTACTTTTTTAGTATTACACATGTGAAATGTTTTTATTTGTATTAAGAAACGAATTGATATAAGTTAACAGCTTATTTCTGGATCCTATTAATTAATCAATTGTATTAATATGTTGATGCCAAATTGTATTTATTATTTAACTTGAATTAAAATAATAAAATATGTTTACATTAGAATAAGATTTCACGGAAGAATAATTTATTGTTAACAAAATTTTAATGTGGACAACCGAGAGGCCAAATAAGGAAAACATACATGTAACAGTGTAAAACGTGGAAATGACAAAACAAAATAATATGAGAAGCTACAACAGGTATACGTAATGTATTGCAGTCGATCACATTAAAAATTTGAAAGGAATTTAAATAGTTTTATAAACAAATTACCCCTTCCGTACCTCATCAACTTATATTAGAAATATTTATCGATTTATTTACAATACTCTTAAAAGTGTAATTAAATGGACTTACAAATTGATTTTCACAAATGTGTATCACGAAAATAAAATGATATCAAGACGAATACTGAAATGGAATTAGAGTGTATAAATTTATTATTACTTTTCGTACTTGTTAACTTGTGTTTCGAGAAGGTCTAAGTATAGATCATCGCTATTGACGTTAGTGGACATTCTTGCATAATTAATAAGCTCTTGTCTTAATACCGTTGACAATAGTGTTTTTGCTATTAATTATTTTTATAGATATCTATAAAATTACCTCATTTTCTTAATTTCATTTTCATGAATTTCGTAGATACATGTACTGTCTCTTTAACATTTGGGAATTTGGGAAACGATTAGGTCATGGTTGGATACTAGGCTTAGTGTTAAGCCTAGGTTTAAGCGAAAGCGCGGAAGCTAAAAATGTGCTCACGATCATCGCTTTTAAAATCTTATAAAATTAAAAAAGAAGAATTCAATTTGTATAATTACATTTATATGCTACAACTATGAAATTACGAGTTAAATCAAGATTTCGGTTTTTTTTCTATGCATTGTAGTGAAGATGTCATGTGCAGCACGTGCAATCATGAAGTTGAATTGCATTGAAAAATACAATTTGATTTAGGAATGCCACGCTATTTCTTTAATCCAATCAAAATAACGGATTCTAATAAAACATTATTGTAATGTAACAGAAATAAAATATGATATTGGAGTGCCTCACGATTGTTGTCAGTAAATCATATTAAGGCATTCTAATGAAACATACATGTAATGTAATTATTAAAGCAAGTTAAAAATGTCGGTTGTCTACAAAGCACAGTTCATCTATATAAGAATCTATCCACCTGTACTCGACGAATTCATTCTTATGTTTTTAGATCTTCGAAAGCAAATATATATTAATATGCTATAACCATGTTGATCTTAAATTGAAACTACAAACACAAACAAATCGACAGGTATTGTGTACCGATATGAAAGCAGTATCACAACTCTCGTGAAATTACACGTCATAAAAATGTTGATTTTAAAATAGATAGCACGTGAAATATTAATTTTAAAAAATATTATTTATTAATCGATTTTTTAGGCATTTACAAAGATATAACGGAATCAGATAATTTGTCTTGCAGCCAATGAAAAATCAGTAGATATATGATTCGAACGCCTAATTTTAATTAGAAATAAGCATTTATAACAACTGGTGAACAAAAATTCCAATAAACATGTATAGCTTTGGTTTGTTTACTTTTGAAATACGATTAAATGATTTTTCATATTTAGGAATTGAATGCTTCTTTTTGTAAATTCATTGGGGTGTAAAAGCGTTGACCGAAGTACATTTTGTATGAAGCGCGGAAGCGCTTCATTCTAAAAATGTACGCACGGTCAACACTTTTATAACCCTATGAAATTACTAAAAGAAGCATTCAATACTTATAGTTACATTTTTTCGCTATGATCATGAAAACACGATTAATATCATTTTTTTCTTTTATTTACCTGTGCACTTTTATGTGGAAAAGTGTGTCATCATGTATGTTACAATTCATGAAATTCATTTTGAGATGAAGAATGACGCGAGATGGCTGTTAGCCAATCAAAATAACGTATAATAATGAAACATACATCTAATGTAATTATTCAATCTTCAAAGTACACTTTCCTGTTACAGTATATCTGATACTATGGATATTGAAGCATTGGGTATATTACACAAGCAAAAAGATGCACTAAAAGCTTTACCAAATCCTACAGATATATCTTCCAAGAAGTACGAGGATAAAGTAACCAAAACAATGACAATCGTACGTGGAGATATTCAGCTAGTTTCCAAGTATTCCGAAAACATCCTCGCAGAACTGAAAAATGTTAGGGAGCAAATAAAACTTTGCAGCGTCAAAATCGGAGAGCAGATGAAAGAACTAATGAAACACGATTTTTTGAAATGTGAGTTGTCGATGATTTGCCTCTCAATTACTGTGTTTTTAAGTGTAATGTATCTGTTATATATTCTTTTTTGAAGTTTCCAATTTACAAAATAGGAAATATGAAATATTTGTGACATCATTCAACCAAAATCAATCTGTCAATCAATCAATTAATTGGTCAGTATTAAACAACGCGAAGCGCAACGGAGTTCTTTTCTTATTTGTGTAAACTATCACGGATGGGCGAGACTATAATGTATTGATTGATTGATTAATTGTTGTTTGATGAACGTCAAGTAGAAGATATAACATGCATATTCGAGACGGAACAAATTAAAAATTAATAAAAAAAGGTAGGATTTTCAAGTTATAAGTCGACTGGGATGAATGGCAGAATATTTGGACAGCTTATCTAAAATGAGGATAAATAAGTTGGATATGGGCTGATATTTTGCGCTGCAATATGCCACATATTCTTACAGAGTTGTTGTAAGTATTCATAAAACCCTGAGTGGGTGTCACAGACACTACTCGGGGAATCCGATTTAAGTCTCTACTCCATCGAACATGGCTGTTATATATACATTAGGTAAGACTACACAGCTTTAAATACTTCAGTTCAAACCAACTTTTGAAGATTTATGATACGAATTTGTCACTGCCATTTAGACCGTCTTCTTTATATTTTCATTTATGTACAACAAAAAACAGGTGCTAAACACATACTAAACCCTAAAAGATAATGCACTGGTTAATTGCCACAACTTGGCTTGTTAGTCCCCTACCGACGAAGTCGAAGAGGACTTTATGTCTGTCTGTCTGTCTGTCTGTCTGTCTGTCCATCTGTCAGTCCGGCAAATCAGTTTTCCACATTTTTTCTTCATGCTTGAAGATATTGATTTGATATTTGGTGTATTGTTTTATCATGACAAGTTACAGATCAATTTCTAATTTTGTACCGGTCTGATGATTTTGTGCAGAGTTATGGTCCTTGGACTTAGAAAATTTAATCAAAATACTCAGTTTTCCGCACTGTTTTTCGTCGTGCTTGAAGATATTGATTTGATAATTAGTATATAGTTTTATCATGACAAGTTACAGATCAAGTTCGAATTTTGTTCCGGTCTGATAATTTTGTGCAGAGTAATGGTCCTTGGACTTAAAAAAATCACTCAAATAATCAGTTTTCCTCACTTTTTCCGTCATGCTTAAAGATATTGATTTGATAATTGGTATATAGTTTTATCATGACAAGTTACAGATCAAGTTCGAATTTTATTCTGGTCTCATGATTTTGTGCAGAGTAATGGTCGGATTTAGAAAATTCACATAAATAATCAGTTTTTCCACACTTTGTTCGTCATGCTTGAAGATATTGACTTGATATTTGTTATATAGTTTACGCCATGACAAGATATAGATCAAGTTAGCATTTTGTTCCAGTACAATGATTTTTTTTACCGGTAGGGGACTATGTATTGCCATGCAATACTCTCAGAATGCTTGTTTTTCCTTATGTTATAATATGTAGTTTTAATCAGCACAGATGGTTTTCTCTGTTGATTTGTTTCGCAGATAATTACTAACATCTCTGTCCTCACAAGCAAACATTCAATCAGTCAGTGTTAGACAACGCGAATCTCAACGGAGGTTTTTCCTCATTTGGGTAAACTATCACGAATGGGCGAGACTATAATGTATTGATTGATTTGTCTTTCCGCTCATAATTAGACCCTATTAATTGTACTATGAACTCGTCCTTGTCTTAATTACGAATTGAAAAAAAAATTTGTGTTAATTTTCATCTAAATTTTTTTTGTTATACAGAACGAAGAGATTTTCAAAAATTGTAAAACAAAGGAGGAGTTTTGGTATCATTGCCTTAAACGGTAATTTTCCACGTAGATTTACACGAAAAAGTTATAAGCCAAGGCCTTACCAAAAAGTATATTGTCCACTCTTTATCATCGCGCCAAATACTCTTTGTGTAAAGCAGTAACTTCAATCGAAATTAGTTTTTTCCCTGTATGATAATATTTGTAGATAAATAAGTATTTTATTTGTTGAAAATATGCCACTTGCCATTGAACAAAACATCGTAATCCCAATTGAACATCCTCGTGTGACGTAACGCGCGATTTATGTATCATGTCAATGCTTTTTACACATCAACATCAATGTTAATGTATATTTCAGGCGTATTATTAAATCATTAAAAAAACGTGCTATGTTTAAACTGATAAATGATCGATATACTATTGATACCATGAAAATAATAAAATCAAGAAATATGAGGAACTGTATGTGGTTTTTTTTCAGGATTTCAAAGAAAAAAAAGGGATTATGCCTTGTGAAGTATGAGGGTTTTCTAATAAACATTCTTCCCGAACACAACGGAAATAAAGTACAACATCGTTACGTTGGCGATCATTGAAATATAACACATCGTCTAAAAATCATAGAAAGCATTTAACCAACTTATTTCCTAATATTTTGTTACTTTATATTTTACATCTGAAATATTTATTTAAATTAAAATCGTGAATTTGCAAGATTGTTTCTTTTCCAGTAGAGAGAGTTGAACCTGGCAGGAAATATAGACCAATTTCTCCAAATGCCAGGTAAAATCTTAAAAAATATGTTAAGCGAAATGAATAACACGATATGAGATTTGAGATATGCATGTACCCTAATAAAACACCAACCAATAAAACATATAACAAAAAGAACAACATACAGTCGTCAACAATAGACGGGGGTATATACAATATGGCAAGTTCTAAGTTGTTCCGAAAAAAAAACAGTTGCGAATAAATTAACAGAAACTATGAAATATCTACAATCAATTTTTTTTTTCAAATAACAAATATCAATCGGACATGACATAAGATAAGCACTGTCGAGGTTGCGGACATAAAACAGGCGTGAGCATATCTTGTTGGGTTAAATTAATGTTTTTCTAAATCTCAACTCTCCGTTTAAAAGCGATCAGCGGACCATAAAGGGTACATATAAGATCATACAATAAAAACATCAGTTCAGAAAAAGCATCTAACTATAAGATACATGTAACGGCATACAAATAACAAAGCGACAAATACAAGCAACAATAAACATTATCATGGCAGACGATGCATATATAGCAGGAGACGTTTATTTTGTCAAAGCACTGGTCTTATCCCTTTTGGAGATTATGCGATTTCCTTAGCTTTTATGTGTTAACTTGATTTGTCTCTTATTCGATTTACCAGATTTGAAAAATCGGCAAACTACTGTCGCATTAATTTATACCGTATCCAGAAGTTACTTCAAGTAAGCTCAAAGTACTTATACTGCTGTTATGGAATCGTGCGTCTTACGTCAGATGCAGATCTTGTACAATGCACGGAAAAAACGTAAAGCATTTTAATGCCAAAAAAACTAAAGAAACATTCCAAGTATTGCTTTAAACTGTAAATAGAGAATTGATATCCATCCCAAAAAATATCAATCGCAGTGATTTAACAAGATCAGTATAACTATTATCATCACCTTCATCAATTAGTCTTTCAAAGCGGCATTAGTAACGAATTGACAGTACCATTTGAAAAAATTAAAGTATATTTTTTAAACATATTCAAGAAAGGAATATTGAATAATAATTTGCTATAAGTAGTCCATTTGTTTCCTTTTGTCAAAATATAATATAAAACAAATCACTTAAAAGACATTAACTCAACCTCATTTGGATCCGTTTGCATGCAGCCTGTGAACTCAGTTGGATGTTAACTGTGCATATGCTCAGCAATGTCAGGTATTAATCAAAAGAATGTCAACTGCAAAGTAAATCAAGGGGAGCCAATATGAAGAACAATTTCTTTGACTTTTTCGGCCAGAAAAAGAAAACATATTTGTACAGTTAAAACGATGATTTTCATGTATTTTATTATATGAACATTTATATCTTTATCTAGGTCTCATCAACTTCGGCAAACGCCGGGCCCATTTCAATGATTATATAGATGGCGGTCAGTTCCAAAATTGCATCAAAATCATTCTAGTATACATTTAAGTATGGTATATGGTTGAACATCGGTAAACTATTGTTACTGTGATCCTTAGTAAATAAACTTTGAGTCACTTCGGTGGGCATGAATTTTGTAGCTAATGCTACTGTCAACCTAAGAGAACGATTCAAATGACAATTCCGAATCATGTTAGCTTTTTGTTATAATATGATCGTAAAGGTTTTCAATAAATACGAAAAGACTGATTAGATACACTAATATAACAAAAAATTATCACACCTGTGAACAGTCACTGTTTTCACAATAGCATTGGTGTGTTTTAAGAACAACGCAATAATCAAAAAAATAATTAGATTCTCTGTCTGGGATATGGGAGTATTGGGAAGATGCATTTTAAGATATGCGGTTTCTACGTAAATACTCAAAAACATTAACTTTTTTACTAGTATTGCTAAAATGTTCAGTACCTCTTTTTGTAATTTATAATTGAAATCAACTTATTTCTAAATTTATTAGAGTTACAAGAGAACATATTGAAACTAAGAAATTAGAGCAAGTTCAAGCTATGCAGAGACTTGCAAAACAAAATCAAGAGCTTATGGAATTCATAGCTGAAACAGAAGATCTAGTTCTAAAAATAGAAAGTGACGCAGAACTATCCTTTTCTGACATATCTGGAGTACAAGGTCATCTAAACGAATGGTGTGATGGCTTGGAAACATTGAAAGAAAAGAAGAGAAGAATTAAAGAGGAAAAAGAAAACGAAGAAAGAGAAAAAAGAAAACAAGAGGAAGCAGAGAGACGAAGAAAAGAAAAAGAACAAAAGGAAGCAGCAGAAAAGAAACGAAAATTGGAGCAAGAAAAGAAACGCAGAAATTGGAAAACCTGGCCTCCTTTCATGTATGTTTATAGAACTGGATTATTCGATGTATACATATGGTCTGATAGCTAAAACTGACCCAAATTTCGTTTAGTTTTTAACCTACCTGTATCGAAATCATCAGGTTATGACCAGTTAGTGCAAATGAGTTTCATCGTATTGCAAGTTGAGTTGATGTTTGTGTTAAGAAATTCAATTAATATTAACCTGCAAGTTAAGTACAAAATTGGCTGCTAGAAAGTGTGAAATTTAAGTAAATTAGTTTTGTATGTAAAACATTATATACATGTAGCTTGATGAGTACCGAATCGATTGTGGGAGTATGGAAATCAGCAAGAACAATTAAAAACTGAAACAACCCGAAAGATCAATTGAATGACAATCATATTTAAGGTTAGACAATTAAAACTCACATAAATCTCGATCATCACTGAAGAGACATTGATTGTCGAAATGCGCATCTGGTGTAGAAAAATTGGTACCGTTTATGATATTTTCATATTGCCAAGCATTTAAAAAAGTGAAATATCTAGTAATTAGTTTTATATATGAAAATAAGAAGATATGGTATGATTACCAATAAGACAACTCTACACCAGATACTAAATGACATGGAAGTTAAAAACTATAAATGACCGTTCCCTCCTTAAACAATGAGCAAAACCCATACCTCATAGTCAGTTATAAAAGAGGGACGAAAGATACCAGAGGGACAGTCAAACTCATAGATCGAAAACAAACTGACAACACCATGGCCAAAAATAAAAAGACAAACGGACAAATAATAGTACAGATGACACAACATAGAAAACTAAAGATAAACTAAGTATAAAGGGACCCGAAATAACATATATAGAACGATTCAAACGAGAAAACTAACGGCCTGAATTTTGTACAAAACAATGAATGAAAAACAAATATGATCAACAGCAACAAACGACAACAACTGACTTGGGACAGGCACATACATAATCTGACGGGGTTAAACTAGTTTGTTGGCACAAAACCCTCCCCTTACCTAGGAAAGTGGTGTAACAGTACAACAGAAGAACAAACTATAAAAATCAGTTGAAAAGGACTTAACTCTTCAGATCGACACAAAGCAGAAAACGTCTAGCTAAAACATAGACCGGACTTGGCAAGGCATTTATACATCCCCACAACAAAAAAGACACTATGTACAAGTCTGAGAGTACTTGCAGCAGTTACTGACTGCTTGTTCAAAGCCAATAACAACTGATGAAAGAATCGTGCATCTAAGATTAAAATATCAATCAATACACATCCAACAGCCAATATATTCAATGTAAAGACGTCATTAAAGTTTATCTTTTCATTGAAAATATCTAAATATGTTTTGCTTTTAAATACTTTCGATATGACAATGTACACTGGGGTTCTATTATTCTGATTTTAGATGAAACTAACCACTCCCAATTTTGTCCTCTTTCAACCAGTCTTCCTGAACATCAAAGTGTGTGTCTGTAAAATTTTTGGAGAATCGTCATTGTTTTTGTCATCAAGCATTTCCCATTTGTTTTGGTTGAAATTAAAATCATGGACTCTACTTTGTTGATAATATAGAGCGTTTATTAGTTAAGCATATTATTGTTCTGTTGTTGTTATTTTGGCGTACTAATAAAATTACTTTCATTTTAATGTATAAAACTATATCGCAAATTGTGTTGTTCCTTTTTCAGTTACCAGAATTACCGTCAAAATAATTTTAAACAAAAATTATGTTGTGTCCTATTCATCATGCCAAACGGTATCCAGAAGAATGATATTATTTGCGAAGGATCTGATGAAGTAAATGATCTAGCCAGATGTCTTCAAAGCAATGATGAAAAAGTCATATCATGTATTATAACAATTACCCCTAGAGATGACAAAGAGATAAAGTTTCAGGTATAAATAAAGGCAACAGTAGTATACCGCTGTTCGAAATTCATAAATCGATTGAGAAAAAAGCAAATCCGGGTTACAAACTAAAACTGAGGGAAACACATCAAATAACACTATTATACTATCATATGATTTTTTGTTTGCAATTGGTCATTCGCCATATTACTTACTATGCAGGCAAAACATTTCCAAAATATTTATCAATCTCATCCTATGCTTTTTTCCTGAAACAAAATAATTTTCCATACCATATAACTAGATTTAATATTGTATTTTACATTTAACATTTTTTTTTTATTTCGGTTCATTTATATGTTTTGGAGTTTAGTGTGACGTCCATTTTCTCTGACTAGTTCATATTTTTGTTTAGGGGCCAGCTGAAGCCCGCCTCCGAGTGCGGGATTTTCTCGCTGTGTTGAAGACCCTTTGGTGGCCTTGTGCTGTTTTCAACTCATTGGCCGGGTTGTTGTCTCTTTGACACATTCCCCGTTTCCATTCTCAATTGTTATATAATAAATGATGTTTTCTATTGAATTACGAACTCAATCGTTTTGTGTATCCAAAATTTCTTTTGACATATCTCAGGTTTTTTTTTAATTTGAGTGAATACTATGCGTCTTGGAAGAAAGAAAACGAAATGGGTTCTATAACTCTGCGGTTACCTGTTCAAAGTTAAAGGTCACTTCAGTAACCAAACGAAATAAACGTTGTCTCTTTATCGTATTATTGAATTATAATATCCATTGATATCTAATTAAACATAATAAATTTTACTTATGTTCATCACTGAAAGTTTCTTGAGATGGAAACTATTACTGGTACTGAAATAAGTTTCCACCACCTTAACTGTCTTTAATGTATCAATTATGTAAGAGACCTTTTTCTCAGTATGAATAGACTTTTTCGTGGTAAATTCTATTGTGGTTTGTTTTCGTTGTATTGTTAAACTATAATCACTACATCTTTGTATTGATAATAGTACATTTTACTGGGATTGCTATTGTTTTTGAACGAAAAGAACAATGAACACATATCAATGTATCCGTAAAAAGGGGAGACGATACCTAGGGGATATTCAAATATTCTCATCTTTGAAAATTGAATGAAAACGATACTTTATGATCCTTTTTGTCAAGATAGATTTGCAAATGTCCTTTATACTTATTCTATTATAGATGCCAATTAGAGTATATGTACCAATAGTTTCTCATGACAAAACTCTTGTTCCGGTATTGAAATATAATATAAACGGAAAGAAATGGCGAACAGGGCAGAGATTACCAGAAGTACAACTTGATGACGTTTATGTAAGTTAATCCATATTTCTCGGAATAGCGGGTGGTCTAGAATGCTATTTGTATATTGCAAAAGGTATATATGGAAAAAAGAATTATGGCATCAATATATAGAAGAGGCTGTCAATGTGTAACAGAACTGATGATCAAACCATCTGGAAATCTGTTAATCTCCTCCTGCTGTAATTTTTAGTTGGTAAGATAAATATCAAATTCATCTTTTAATTCGAGCACAACACAGATATATGCATATCTCATTAGCAGGCTTATGACCAGAAAAGTAAATTTAACACTTGTCGCTTAACTTAAAACATCCCTTTAACCTATCATTCAAGCATTATAAATACTAATCAGCCAGCGAATGATTCCCAACAATGAATGAAAATTGACGTTTCAAGTAGAAAATATATACGGTTAAAAGAATAACAATTTCTCTTCAGGGTATCTCATTTGTTGGCGTAGAAATTCCGTTGACACAACTGAAACAACTGCAGTGTGTAGCAGTAGCTAGACATCCAAGAGATGAAACGGAGGTAGATGAAGGTGGTAAAGAGTTTGAACCAGAGGGTGATAGAAACATTAAACTAAAATTTCCTCCTGCAGCATTTCCTGGAATAACAACCGTTGCAACAGTGGTATTTTAAAGTTATCTTCAGATATATAAAAACAATCAGGCAAAAATGGCAGTTTTAATACATTTAGGGATAACCTCTTTCTTTCTTGTTAGCAAGGCTATTTTTATTTCTAAATTCTGATATAATGTCTGCAAAATTTTCTATTTTATTCTATCGTTTGAACAATGTAAATATGCGCGCATAGGACGGACGTATCTTGTCTTTCTGGTCTTTTTTTTATCTCGCTCTTGAAAATGTCATTTTATCTTCAACTTATATTTTTTTGCATATTTGTTCCTTACATTCTAATAAATGATTACAGACTGTGCCTTGGACTCAAAATGACATCATAAATGCGTCGAAAAGACACAGAGAGTTGGAAAATATGAAAATAGCAGGTTCTTATATCAACATCTCGTGTGAAAATTCAACAAATGCAGATTCTGACCTTGAGATTTACAACCTTGGATGGGAAGGTAAGTCTTTAATTAATCCATTTAACACCAACAGTTAGAATTCAAATCATAGATTTCTTTTAAAAATTAACCACGAATGAGTGTCTGTTTAAATGAAATTGCTATTCCATACTCTTTTTTTTTCAATAATTCTTATTGATTATTCGACAATAATCGACAGAGAATTAGTCTGTATGACGGGTCTATGTTGACGACGTTTTTGTAGACATCTATCGCAAATAGACACTATTAAGTTTCACTGTGCTTTTATAGAGAGTTATCAAAAGTTTCATCAAGTGGATACACACCACTTTCGATTTAAGTATTTTTTATTCGACACCGACGGTATTTATGATCACTTGTTCCAGAATCAAGCTTCATGTTAGCATGTTTTATCGTGTGATGAGAACTTGTTCACAGTTAAACATGTTTTCAAAATGTGCCTTCCTTGAATGAATTTACAGTGAATAAAAGTATTGGTAAAAGACATACCTTGAACCGCGAGACCCTGAGCAGATGTAGCAGGTGGATAGTTAACAACATGAATCCTGATGACATGGCTCTGCACTTAGATGATATGTTTGAGAGCGATTTTGCTGAAGAGCTAATGGTAGGCTGGTTTTGTTTCTTTTAAACAATTGTAGCAAAATGTTTTTAAATTGCGTAATCTTGATAATTTGAATAAATAAAGGCAACAGTAATATACCGCTGTTCAATAAATCGATAAAGCGAAAACAAATCCGGGTTACAAATTAAAACCGAGGGAAACACATTAACTATAAGAGGTAAACAACGGAACAACAGAAACACTGAACTGCAACAACAACAAACGCCAACATACATAGAAACGCACTATTTGAAAACAACTGTAATATAACATTATCGTATTAAGATTAAGACGTTTCGATTTGGAAAAAAATATTTTAAATACCGGGTTTCAGTTTTTCGGTTAATTCTTTGTCAGTTTTATGCTCTCTGACATGTAGTAATTTCGGCTCTCTAAATCAATTGAAATTAGTTCTATCAAAACTTTTGATTTTTCAACCCTGTATATCACCATTCCCCATGTGAAATTAAAATATCGTCTAAAAGAAATAATCCACAATGCTTTTCAACATATAATGGTAGCATACGCTATACATTTATTACCTTGGGATACCATACGGCATATTTTGTTAATAGCAAACAAAAAGGTAAAACATGCTACACAGAGGAACAATTTTCCCCACCTTATTAGTAGCAATATACCAACTTCACCTGCATATGGGATATACATTTCTAACTCATTCGGTATTCAAGAGCTTGCAGCTGCTACTCAGACTTTATAACACGTCACCAGTGTCTGAGCAAAAAGTTGATGAACCAGGGTAATGTCAAAGAACGTCTCGTCCTTTTTCAAAAAAAGTTCATCTGAAGATACCAAGACCTTGTTGATAAATATTCTGTATTAACTTCACAAATAATACACGTTGGTCTTGAAGTAAAGATTATAGGTACTAACGTTGTTTATCATCTTAATTATGTGTTATAGTGTTCTTTTATTTGTCTTTGTAAATTATTACATTTACTGTTTAGTCTATTTTTGGTAATATCCATTTGATGTAGCTCGGTACTTATACGTCCCGTCATTGTGTTATTGTGCTATGATAAATTTTTGTCTTTCGTTTTCGTTTATATGCCTTTTTGTTTTTTTGTTTTTTGACATATTTGTTTGTTTTTATAGTGATTAAGATTATAACACAATGTTAGCTGCTGTACCCCTATTTTTTACATTTTTACCTATTATGTCTGTTTGTTTTGTTCACACATTGTTGTCAATATAATGGAATTTTATACGACTGTCATACAAGTGAGAGGTTTAGCTAGCTATAAAACCAGGTTTAATCCACAGTTTTCTACATCAGAAAATGTCTGTACCAAGTCAAGAATATGACTATTGGTTTCCATTCGTTTGATGTCTTTGAGCTTTTGATTTTGCCATTTGATTAGGGACTTTCCGTTTTGAATTTTCCTCAGAGTTCGGTATTTTTGTTATTTTACCTTTGACCTTAAGTCTGGTCATTCAATAGTATTTTAGAATCATGTGTCGTATAGACGGAAATTGGTATCATAATTGTTTACCACGATTAACGATAGCAAGATTTTCTAATAGAAAAATTCATTATTATTCCTCTTAGAACCGATTTTGTACAATTTGTGTAAATACAGTTGCGTCTTGAAAGTTTGTTTTTATCTTCTATTGATTTAAGATTGTTACCTTTACAGACAAAAAATACACAAGGAGATAAGAATAGACACATTTTATATGAATTAATGGAATCAGATGATGCCAGTATTGACACTTTCGTCGAAAATTTAAGTTCTTCACAACCAAATGTAGCAGACAAAATCATTGCTGTGAAGTCAAAAGTACAAAGTTCCAGAAAATCCAAAGATTCAAAATACGATTTCAATTTTGCAAGTGACTTTGATCCAGGTAAACTAGCAGTTTTGACTGAGTATTTATTTTAACTAGTAGCGGGAAATGGGAATATATCTAAAAAAAACTTTCAAATTGGACGATAATATCGAAAACGAATTTGAAATCGAACAGTACAATACGTACCAATTTAGTTAACAACAAATGCACCTAAGAAAAGCATGCAAATATAACACAAGACATATTGCCAAGAAGCTCGGATTTATAGCGTTAAAAGACACTCTGACCTAGTCGAGTGCAATTGGTTCATTCTTTTTAGTTGGTTTATTTTTGTAACGTCATGTTTAAATCAAAATGAATCTATGCTTAGTAAGCAGGTTTCTTTCCTAGGTTTACGTCAATTCAACCTGAACAATTTATATTTTAACAAGTAGCGATTTCTTGATGAAAGGCTATTTTAATAAAAACAAATACACGGAAACGAAGAATTGACCCTGGGAAGAAATAAGTTTTACTATTAACTTTGAATAATTTCTAAACAGATTTCGAAAAGAAAGAGGGAATAGTTTATATGGTTTCCAAAGTCAGTGGCAAATCATGGGAAATAGCACCAATAGAAGAAACTGATGCTCATCCAAAAGCAAGATTCCTAAAACTTCCTGCTGGGAACAACAATTTTCAGTAAGTTGACACTTAATTAGAAACCTAATTCTAGACAATCACATTAGATAATAAATTTGGAACTTTCAATCCATATATACATTATCGATGATTTTATATTTATGTTTTATTTAGATTTATATTTTGCATACATCGCAACCCTGAAAAGCTGGGAAAAAGATGTTAACCACTTTGTACACACCAGATCTTTGATATGTATAACTTTGGCACAATCGAGTTTGGAAATCTATTTTGTAGATTTTACATTTACAGATATTCGTATTTCTTTTTTCATTTGAAATGTATTATACTTTTAAAATTATTGAGGTGCTTATTAGTTTCAATATTTAATAATTCAATACATGTATTTTCATCAATAAAATATTTTGCATTTATAGGGTACTGGGTCTGGTTGTTCCATTTGAGATGAAAGATGAAGTTATCTGTAAAACAGCTGAAATTCTAGAAAGTTTGAATTGTGTCACTAAGGTGTCACTGATATGTCGTCAAAAGCACGCAGATCCTCATGATGCTGTTATTCAGTGTGTCCGGACAGAAAATATAGCTGGTACTCTTCATCATTTGGATGCTTTAGGATATACAGATGGTCCACCGGAAAGCTCAGAGTTTGGGGTTGTTGATGGAGAAGAAATTGAAGTACAATACGAATCTAATTTGTATTTCGAGTATTATCAATATTCTACCTTGAAGATGAAATTTTACAGCAATCTTTCTGTCGAAAGATATTCAGGAAATCTCCTAGTCCTTAACAAAGGCGACCAAGCCGAAGACGATAAATATCACGGACATTTTTCCTACAGTGTACTCCCTGGTCGGTTGTCCATTCCAAGGCAAGGAACATTTGTCTTATATGTGCCAAAGGTATGCATATCAGAAAATGTGAAACAAAATTCAGACAATATAAAACATAAACGAAACATACTTATGTATATATATTCATGATTGAATATAAAACAACATGAACAATGTAAACAAAGTAAATGCACCGTACTATTTATAGTGTACCGTTCAGCGATCCTGCGAGAATCACCAAGCTGACGTTATTCCTGTAATATACATTGTCGAACGTAATTTCTTCCAATGCATTGATTAATAGTTCATTAGTGATATTAAAACGGTAAAAGAAACTCGACAATACATTCAGGGTAGGAAAATATTGTTCTAGTTCATTCTGAAATAGATGTTAACATGAGCGAATTGTTAAAACAACATAATGTATTTACAGCACGTACATTTTTTTCTGACATTTTCTCAATATGTAACCATAAAGGACCAAAAGTATAGCCACATCTGCACAATAAATCGGAGCTATGCATGAAGGAGATATATTCGTTAATTTCAAATAATTTCAACTGTAAATAACATACCAAAACACTAGAAGAGATGTATGATTAAACGAGAAAGACATGTAATAAATATAAAAAGAAGATGTGGTTTGATTGCCAATGAGACAACTCTCAACAATAGACCAAATGACACAGAAATTAACAACTATAGGTCACTGTACGGCCTTCAAAAATGAGCAAAGCCAATGCCGCATCGTCAGCTATAAAGGGCCTCGAAATGACAAATGTTTAACAATTCAATAAAGCATGTCTGTGCCATTTTATTCTTTAAAATACATTTTATTATCTTTTAACACATTTCCAGAAAGTTGGTAAAAGTTGGTAGATGTATTTAAGACAATGTGAATATGTACTCACTCTCTCTGTAAAGTATTTGATAGATATGTAGAATATTTTGGATCATTTTTCACACAGGTATTGCGTTCATGCTTAGTTGGTATACTGTTCATGTATATATTATGTATGTTACAATACAGTAGTGTTTGTTTGTATCTGTACTATTTTTTTTTTAATTTAATCCAATTATAATCATTTTGTATGTTTTATAAAAAGATATCATAACCCAAAAGTGCATTTACTATAAAGTAATTATTTTCAGCCTTTAGAAGAAAACGTCACCAACTTTCCTTATACATTGGGTGTGCCAGGTATGCTTGTCCCATATAACACAAAAAACTGTGATAAAAAAGTGGAATACAATATCAAATCAACTCTAAAGGATAGATTTTGTATGCTACAAATAAATGGAAGTTTAATTACTGTGACTTTTATTACTTTTCTCTCTCTCTGACACCATAGATGCACAATATAATCAACAAGGGGGGCACAATACAAAGTTCCCGAAGGTCAGCAGATACTTATTTTTTTTTTAATTTCTCTGATTGAGGAACAAAGGAAGTAAAGAAGACAGTTAGGAAAGATATACAGCCAATAGTTCAATATTGTGTTAGTTCAGTGTTCCCAGATTAGAAGCTTTTACACGCAATGCTAAACAAAAGTAAAATTTTGTTATTAGTTTCAAAATATTGTTTCCATTATTTAAGTTTTCCACTAAAATATGACTTTCATGAATAGTACTTTACACTGTGAAATGGCTTCCACTGGGTTCATGAACTGTATTATTTTTTTTTCCAAGAAAATAGTTCAATATAAAATTGAGAATGGAAATGGGGAATGTGTCAAAGAGACAACAACCCGACCACAGAACAGACAACAGCAGAAGGCCACCAATAGGTCTCCAATGCAGCGAGAAATTCCCGATGTTAATTTTCTAAACGTACATGTACATCCATCAGTTTTGTTTCCTTTTTTTATACGGATACATTTACATTTTATCTTTGAAGAATATTACATGTTTTTGGCTACGTCGGTGCCGTCTTAATACAGAACACACGAACAGCAATAATCAGCGTGACACAGTTTTCTTTGTAAATACAAATTTTAAGTAATTTATAACGATTTCTTAAAATATTTCAGTCAAGGCATTGGCAAAGTTTATTGCTTGGCAAATTACTTGTACCAATTCTAATTCAACAAAATGGGTATGTCTTGGCAAAAATCTAACAGATGGGGACACACAGCTATATCATCAAATATTGGAAAATGTGAAAGAGCAACGGGATAATGCAGAAGAACGTGAACGTTGTGAATTGTACATTTTGTATTGGTCCAACCACCATGCACCAGATGTTACTGACAAGGTATAACGGAAACAAAAATACTTACTAAGAAACTAGTACCTCAGAAATGAAAGTGCAGAATGTTATTATATAATAAAGTGTATATGAAATGGATTTTTCAATATCAGGAGAGAGCTGTTTGATTTGTATGGGGGAGATATTAATGTGTCATTTGATATAATCTACATATTTACTGGCAATATCAACATGATCAACATTTGTTTTCTTTATGTGCTAGGTCAAATCTTAATTCATTTGGTTATTTGCTGTTCTTAACATTTTTGTTGATTGTATTTGATATGTATTGCAAAAACCCGAGGGTTCCTGCTCTATCAACGACGTCCATCGAGTTGCTAATTCTAAAACCAAATAAGTGACACTCTGTCATTAGGAGTCTTAATAAAGACTTTCTGTAATTTCGAAATGGTTTGAATGATGAGATGCAAGGAATGGTAAACGCCAATAAAAGTATACATGTATAATTAAATTCAAAAATTGCAAGCTTACTTAAGTACGACACGTCAGTTAAGGTGTCCTCCAAACTGGTTAGGATTATATTTTGATTATTCCTCAAATGCAACGTGTTGCTTACGTATGTTATTTGTTTTTATTATAAAGATAGCGAAGATAATAGCTGCTCATCGTCATACACAGTTAGAAGCAGAAGCAAAGCAATTCATAAAACCTTTCATTCCAGGCAGAGGTAAAAACTAAATTGAAATAGTATTTATTTGAGTATCTTTAATTTAAATGAGTGTGCAGTTTGATCATGATTTTATAATGAAGTATGGGGACAATAGGTTTTTGTGGCAAATGAAGGCCCTGAATGGGCATTCTATAATTACCACTGAGCAAGCAACAACCAGTCAACATTAAGACACAACTTAAATCGTTTCAAAGATTAATATCTAATTATTAACGTAACGCTCTGTTTAACGTCTTCCGTTTAACTTATATTTAGGCAACAGCAATTTATCGACGTTAAAAAAAGGGTTAAGAAGAGAAACCAAGGTAACAAGCAAAAATTGAAGGTGTCGCATGAACTCCAACAGGAGCGATACCGAATGCAGCAACAGGGTAAGCATCTCCTGTTATGCATGCATCACCCGCTGGGCGAATCCACAATCAGTCGAAATGTTACAATAGAGAATAGGACACATTTTACGATTACATATATATATATATATATATTTGACGACTTTTCTGGTTTCTAAATTCGATATTGGTAAATGTGTTCTCTACAAGAAAATATATTATTAAAAGTCATTAGAAGCGCTTAGTTGGGTAAACTTGACATGGTTGAACAAAATAATACTCCCTTGCAGTCATTTAAACCAAAATAAACTATAACATGTATAACCATGAAATGTATATGTTGTTGGATTTAATTAACAATAAAAGTGTCTTTTAAATTAGTTAACAATGTTGTGAAGAACATTATGTGGGATAAAAATAATTCTTATTTTACATCAAATCATTGTAAAAATATGCTACTGCACGTTATATATATTTTTTAGGAATTTTATCAAATGATAACCTGGAAAAGATGGCTTATGTTTTAGCAAAGGATTGGGAAGTTTTTGCAAAGAAACTAGGGTTTTCGAGTGATGATATTAACAAAATAAAATCGAACCAACCTGGTGAAGTAAGACGTACACTAAGAGTGCTAGATCTCTGGCGGCTGTCAGATGGCGCTATTCAAAAGGGAACAGAGTTGGTAAAGAGTTTGCACCAAGCTGCAAGGGCAGCTCAATGTGGTGCAAAGTTACTAAGCATGATTTCTGAAGATCTATAACTGTAACAAGACGATTTGAAACGTTGTTCTACTGTAATGTTGTTGCTGAAATATTTGATGTATCCAATAATTATTATATTGATATTCATGTATATATATCTATATCAAACGTTTTTCTGCATAATACAGTGGTGTGTTAAATAATCTTCATAAGGTACCGTAAATTATTTACTATCGGTTGCCTATGTCTATGCATTGCGAAAACACTTGTGGATATTTAATGTCGTAGTTTTTGTAACTTCTTCATGTAAATCCATAGAAAGTTTATATTTTGTTTATACTTTCTTTTCCCATGAAATTCATTAAACTAGTATCAAACCAAAAGTAATAAATATGTGGTTTAAAGTACTTAATCCTTATGTCGTGTCGTATGTCCTTTAATTGAACAGTATCTACTAAAGGAAAAAATTCAAACTTTTCCGAAAACACGTGTGGCTAAAACTGAATGAGTTATAGTTTGGTTTGTACAAGTTATTCCTTGTGTTCCTGTTGTTCCTTTGTTTTCCTCTTATAGTTGATGTGTTTCCCTCGGTTTTGGTTTGTAACCCGGATTTGTTTTCTCTCAATCGATATATGATTTTTGAAAACCGGTATACTACTGTTGCCTTTCTTTATAGGCATAATCTCTGTTTGTGATGTTTATCTGCAAATCATTTTATATGCACTTTTGTTTGTCAATTTTTCAAACAATAGAATAATAGAATATTATGGATGTATGTGACGTCACAAATATTCATACTACGTACTTGGATGCAAATACGAAAACTTTAGTTATCAGCCAGACCCTTTTATTTTCCGTGTAATTAATAAATAGTCATAATATACAAATGACAGCTTCTTTCCGTTACGATATTTATGTTATTATAATTGTCTTAGTTTGCCTAGCCGCATTTTAGACTGGTGGTAGAATTGAAGCATCCAATGCAAGATATCGCTTGATTTGTAAAAGTATAATATATTACTAATTTGTTAACACAAGGCTGTTTTTTAACCAGATGCCGTCAATAACCAGATCATTGTTTGAACAATTTATATGCTTCATTCGTGACCCATGAATAAGTTTATGAGAATTTATTCATGACAAAAATATTAAAGAAAAGGACTTTATTTAGCTGTGCTTTTGTTTTCGAATTTGTGAATATTTGTTTTTTATCGCAAATTATTTCAATTTTTGACAACACATGTAGCTATATGTATTTTGGTATAAAGCCCGTTTCAATTGGATGAAAGATAAATGTTTGGAGGCTTCTTTGAAAGAAACTGGTTTATTTCTTAAGTTGTACAGTTTTTGATTAATTTCATTTAAATTTGTAGAATTGAAAAGTGTAAATTAAGAGACGAAATAAATGCAAACACAGAAACGTTAATGTAGAGACCTAATAATCCTAAAGAATATATTGCTTTAGATACAAAGGTTATAGATACCAATCATTTCATTTTTGTGCACCTGAAAGATATCAGTTAATTGTTTCTTTATTTTTATTAAATATTATAAAACTGCTATTCAGTTGAAGAATGTTATAGTATTGTTTATGCAACCCTTGTATGTTTAAAGTAAACAGAGAAAGAATGTAACTTGAGTATCGTTATATTTCATAATTACAAATGAATCTGTGGTATATTATTTTGCTAGCGTAACATACAAAACAAAATTTAATTTTGATGAAAGATAAATTTTTGGAGGCTCGCGCATTAATAATATTGGATCAAATTTCTACCTACTTCTAGATTGGAGAAATGGTTTAGTGTTTAAATTATTTCTTTATTTAATTTCTCGGTTGACATTGTTAAAACGCTCTCCTTCCACAGTTTGTTTGATTCATCAGATTCTTTAAAGGGAGACCTCACTTATCAGTACATAGATTTTGCCTTTTCTACAAACGTATCTGTAACAAAACTAGAGGCTCTCAAGAGCCTGTGTCGCTCACCTGACTCTACTTTGGTTTTAGAAATCATGTAAAGATAGATAAAAATCATAACAGATACCCAAATAATGATTGAGGCCAAATTTGGTTTAATATTGGTCCCGTTATTTAATAAAATATCCTGGTGGCCATCTTGAACAGTTAATCGGCAACAAAGTAGCAACACTTGGTCAGCACCTCATAAGGAACATTCATGCCAAGTTTGGTTTCATTTCATTCAGTGGTTAACTCTAAAAGAAGACATTTGTATGTATTTCCCATAGGGTCCTATGTTAAACTAAGTCCCCCCTGGCGGCCATCTTGGATGATGGACTGACTGCAAAGTACCAACACTTGGTCAGCACCTCAAAAGGAACATTCATGCCATGTTTGGTTTCATTCAATTCAGTGGTTCTCAAAAAGAAGACATTTGTTTGTATTTCCCATAAGGTCCTATGTTAAACTAAGTCCCCCGATAGCGGCTATCTTGGATTATGGTTCAGCTGCAAAGAAACAACACTTGGTCAACACCTCATAAGGAACATTCATGCCATGTTTGGTTTCATTCCATTCAGTGGTTCTCTAATAGAAGACATTTGTATGTATTTCCCATAGGGTCCTATGTGAAACTAAGTCCCCCGCTGGTGGCCATCTTGGATAATGGATTGACTACAAAGTAACAACACTTGATCAACACCTCATAAGGAACATTCATGCCATGTTTGGTTCCATTCCATTCAGTGGTTCTCTAAAAGAAGACATTTGTATATATTTCCCATAGGGTCCTATGTTAAACTAAGTCCCCCGCTGTCGGCCATCTTGGATGATGGACCGACTGCAAAGTAACAACACTTGGTCAGCACTTCATAAGTAACAGTCATGCCATGTTTTGTTTCATTCCATTCACTGGTTCTCTAAAAGAAGACATTTGTATGTATTTCCCATAGGGTCCTATGTTAAACTAAGTCCCCCGCTGGCGGCCATCTTGGATGATGGACCGACTACAAAGTAACAACACTTGGTCAACACCTCATAAGGAATATTCATGCCATGTTTTGTTTCATTCCATTCAGTGGTTCTCTAATAGAAGACATTTGTATGTATTTCCCATAGGTTCCTATGTTAAACTAAGTCCCCCGCTGGCGGCCATCTTAGATGATGGACCGACTGCAAAGTAACAACACTTGGTCAGCACTTCATAAGTAACAGTCATGCCATGTTTTGTTTCATTCCATTCACTGGTTCTCTAAAAGAAGACATTTGTATGTATTTTCCATAGGGTCCTATGTTAAACTAAGTCCCCCGCTGGCGGCCATCTTGGATGATGGACCGACTACAAAGTAACAACACTTGGTCAACACCTCATAAGGAACATTCATGTCATGTTTGGTTTTATTCCATTCACTGGTTCTCTAAAAGAAGACATTTGTATGTATTTCCCATAGGGTCCTATGTTAAACTAAGTCCCCCGCTGGCGGCCATCTTGGATGATGGATCGGCTACAAAGTAACAACACTTGGTCAGCACCTCATAAGGAACATTCATGCCATGTTTGGTTTCATTCCATTCAGTGGTTCTCTAGGAGAAGTTCAAAATGTAAAAAAGTTAACGACGTCGACGGACGACGACGGACGACGACAGACGACGGACGACGGACGCCATGTGATGAGAAAAGCTCACTTGGCCCTTTGGGCCAGGTGAGCTAAAAAGTAAGATTCTTTATGGAAAATCATGTAATATATCAGAAATAAAGTTGGTCATCATACATAAGCGAATTCAAAGATTTGATTGGTGTTCTTGTAAAAATCAAAATATACCATCTAAGCATAAATAAAGGCAACAGTAGTATACCGGTGTTTAATAGTCATTAATCTATTTAACTGAAACAAATCCTGGTTACAAACAAAAACCGAGGGAAACGCATCAACTATAAGAGGAAAACAACGGAACAACAGAAACACTTAACTGCCACAAAAACAAACGCCAACATACATAGATAATAGACTATTTGATAACAACTGCCATATTCCTGACTTGGTACAGGACATTTTAAGAAAAATGGTGGGTTTAACCTGGTTTTATGGCTAGCAAAACCTCCTGCTTATATGGCAATATTAAAAATACCGCTAAAATGACAACACTACGTGACAGGAATACAGTACAAATAAACACAAGTACACTCAGGACAGAGAAATACATAAATAAATAATATAATAGTACATTACAACATGTAAACCACAGAATAACAACGGACACCTCGGTTTTCATTTGAATATAAAAAAAGATTGTCTGATTTATATTATGTATCAGTCAGGGGCATTACTTAAACAAGTAACTTTGAAAATTACCTATACAAGTTATGTTGAAAACGAGGCTACTTTGAATATAACTTATCGTAAATATTATTTGTATAAGTGTCCATTCATTTAGATTTTACTAGCTTTAAAAAATTTTCACAGACATCTGGTTATTTTTCCCAAGAAATATAAAACAGATCCTCCTGAAACACTAATTGCCTTTCAAAACTCTCAATAACAAATGCACGCAATAATTTCTGAATTTACAGTATTTAAGTCTGCTTTGTTTTCTTTTGTATTTCAATTGCCTTTGCATTTTAGAGCAGTTAAATATAAATTTGGATTTAATCTGAAGTTGATTCGGTACTTAGTAGATTTCATGGCACAATAACACTTTATTATTTAAAAAAGCATATGCAAACTCTATTTACTGATCACCTTAACTAATCATTCATTATTCAATCAATAATTTCAGATGCGGATCCAGGATTTTGAAAAAGGGAGGGGGGGTTGGGGGGTGGTGGGCGCAGGCCACCAAACAAGATAAAATTTTTAGTGGAACAGATAAAAAGTCTGATTAACCTTAAAACAAGTTTCATAAAGGGGCGGGCACCCTGGCCCCCTTAAATCCCCCTTGCATTTAATTAAAGGACTCTTTCCATTTGTTTAACTTAACGGTTATCTGTAGTACTTTTGAATTCAAATTTAAGAAAACAATTCACAAACTTGTATAGACAGAAATAATGTGAAAAGCGTGATATCATATTGGATTTCAGCTTTTTGTTCAGTTTTCTTTGCATTGATGATAATGCCACATGTCGAGCAGGATCTGCTTACCCTTCCGGAGCACCTGAGATCACCCCAAGTTTTTGGTAGGATTCGTGTTGTTTAGCCTTTAGTTTTCTATGTTGTGTCATCTGTACTATTATTTGTCTGTTTGTCTTTTTATTTTGGCCATGGCGTTGTCAGTTTGTTTTCGATCTGTGAGTTTGACTGTCCCTCTGCTATCTTTCGTCCCTCGTTTAATATCCATTTAGGGCTTTTGGATGTTCAGATTTTTTCTCTTAATTTAGAGCCAGCAGCAGAACTATTTGTGACATTTTTACCTATTGTGTTTGTTTGTTCACACATCGTTGTCAATATAATGGAATGTGATGTAACTGGCATGCAAGTGAGAGGTTTAGCTAGCTTTGAAACAAGGTTTAATCCACCATTTTCTACATAAGAAGATGCCTGTACCAAGTCAGGAATATGACAGTTGTTATCCATTCGTTTGTTGTGTTTGAGCTTTTGATTTTGACATTTGATTAGGGACTTTCCTTTTTGAATTTTCCTCGGAGTTCAGTATTTTTGTGATTTTACTTTTTTCTTGTACAACTTATATAGTTTCTAATATTAAAGCAGGTATAATTAAAATGTTAAAATTCTGTCCACTGCGAATAAACTTTTTCCCATTCAATATCAATGTTCACAATTTCAAAGCATGTATTGTCTACCTTTTCTGTTTTTCCATATTGTATTTTATTTGTAATGCAAAGTTATATTCTATTGTTACACAAGTTCTGCTGCTGAACCCCTCTTGGTAGGAAAATATATAAGTTTTGGCATGAAATCGACGATATTTGTTCTGTTATATGAAATATCCCCCACCTCCTTTTCAAAAATCCTGGATCCGCGGAAAGGTACTTGCTTTCCTCTGAATTTGCTATTGTTACATCTGGAAAAAAAGCTACCAATAAATATGCCCGACGATCATCGATGTCACATTACAAGAACCCATCTCTTTGCTGATCATAGAAAAATAAAAGATAGTTTGGTAATATACATGTATTGTTTAAAAATCTCAAGAGAAACATTCCCATACAGAATCCCTATCAATACGTAATTTCTCCTCTCTTGATAGTGAAATTGTAAATATGTATATTGATCGGCAAGCCTCGCATCTTGAAAATTATTGTTTCGAGGAAAAAACTATTGTTTCACACTTGATGCTGTGTTAGAATGTATAATATCATTTTTGTCGAGCCTTCGACTTTAGTCGAAAAAGCGAGACATAGCGATCCTACATTCCGTCGACGTCAGCGGCATCCACAAATATCCACTCTGTGATTAAAGTTTTTGAAATTTAAATAACTTTCTTAAACTATCCTGGATTTCTACCAAACTTGTAAAACTAAAATTCCATTTTTTCCGTATTTTACTTATGAATGGACTTAGTTTTTCTGCCGGGAAATATTACATTCACTCTGTGGTTAAAGTTTTTAAAATTTTAATAACTTTCTTAAACTATCCTGGGTTT